ATTTTATGCAAAACAACCCGAGGCAGATGTTGTTTGCCGGTGTGTCTTAGCCAGATTTTTTTCGATTGATAATTTTCAGCTGCCGCTTAGCCCAGTGTTATCGGCAACTTGCACTTTTAAACGCTTAAGCATTTTTTGTTATTGTAATGGGTATGTGTATGTACTTTATGTTGGGCTCCGCTTGGCTGCTCGAAGTCCGCTGGCTGGCACATTTGTTCGCGCATTTGCCAAATTTTGGATAAATCGCAGGCGCAGTGCCACACCCATTTCGAGCTGATAGCGTCATATGTTTGAAGGTATATTGTTGTACTAAGTACATGCATGTGTATGTACATATGTACATTGGAGTGGTCCCAAAACAACTTTTCCGTGTTAGGGCTCGGAGCACTTTCCAAAATTTCGCCTATTGCCGAAAGCGCTGCCGGCACCAAACTTTATAGGTGCAATCCCGTATTCCTCGGACTCGGACTAGTAAAATTATCAAAAAATAAAAATTCACTCAGAGCGAGAGAGTAACATTGAAAAGTACGGGATCGCTTTCTAGTAAAAAACGGTAACTTCTGTCAACTTCAACATAACCTCCAAATTTTGGTTGTAAATTTTTGCTTATTTTGTATGTAAACACATTCAGCTCACACATGTAAATAACCAAAAACACTTTCAAATTCATTAGAATCCACTTAAACAAGTAATTAAATACTTTTCAACATGAATTAGATTACACAGCGTGCACTTTTCTTTTGTTTACAATTTGATTGCCAGACACACCACAGCTGATCGTTTGACACATTTACCAAAATTTACAACAAAAAATTCTCGGACTAAAACTGGTAACTTCTGACAAAGAGAGAACCGTATTTACTCTCTTTTTTGTCCTCTCAATAGTCAGAGAACCGAGTACGGGATCGATTTCCTGTAAAATCTGACTGATTCTGACTATTTCTGACTAGTCCGGACTCGTACGGGATCGCAACTTATGTTTCTAGGTATACATTTAAGGGATGCTCAAAAATTATTATATTTCACTCTAGAAATATGTCGTGCATACTTATATATATTAACTAAACAATTGGTTAAGCAGCTTCAGTTGTCGTGGCAACAGTGCCTTTTCATAAAAATCTTCAATATCTTTGTCAATTTCAAATGGATTCAGTAGCGCATTTCAAGGTTATTGAGCATCCAATATTGGTTACAGTATTATATAAATTAAAAGTTGGTATAGATATCACAAATACGAAAACGAAAAAACAATGGGGCTACCTTGTTTTCTCCGAAGACATTCTTTCCCCTCATACAAAACTTTTTATATTTTAAGACTTCCACCAAAAATATTTTGGAAAAATATTAAGACTTACGTGAGCTGGACCGATTGGAAAATACCTCCAAAGATGGAGTTTTTTATGAATAAAAATAATTTCTTAAAGGAATTTTCGTAAAAGATCCCCTCAGATGACAAAACAGTTTAAGCTCTAAAAAAATCTACATAAAAATATTCAAACATTTTTTCAACGGAATCATAATAATGAGATTTTTGATATGGTTTTTAACTTTTTTCATAGATTTGTTTAAGAAAAACTTGAATAACTGGGCCAAAACTATATCGATATAGACAGAGGTATTTTCACACCCTTTTCATTTCTTTGCAAAAAAACTCATTCGCGTCCCAAGTTCTTCTTTATTAAATACCAACACATCATAATTCTATATGGAATGAGGCTTATTTATCTTACCTTCCTCTTACATACTTTGAATAAACTTAGTTGCAAAAAAAAAAATAAAAAGGGTGAGAAAATTCCGTTCCAATGATACTTCATAACTCTAAATCGGTAAACTTTGGGCTGAGTTATTGAAGTTCAAAAGCAGCATCAAAAATCTCATTATTGTGATATCGTTTAAATTTTTTAAAAATATTTTATTCAAATTTTTTAAGCTTAAACTGTTTTGCCATCTAAAGTAAGTTTTTACAAAAATACTTAAAGAAAACTGGATTCACAAAAAAACTGAATTTTCAACTATATTTTCAAATCGGTACAGCCGAAATAATTCCGGGGAAAGTCTGAAAATATAATAGATTTTTTTTTTTAATTCCGGAGGAAAACCCGTACCGATTTTTTTTTTTTTTTTTTGTATGGGGAGTGATGTAGTCTAATGTACATACATGCATGCGTCTTATTCACAACTTCGCTGTTTGTATGTATTAGATATATGTTTGCAATTATTTTCGAAATTGCGCTATTTGTTTTGCCACTATGTGCATACCAACCGACCAACCATCAGCAAAGACAATATTACGAGTACTTAGCACAATCGCCAACAGCTGGCAGCCAATAATCAACTCCCAGCAACCCGCCGCCAAACTAACACCAAACCATCAAGTCAACGGGTGGCCACCAAATTTTTTTCTTCCTCAGCCTCCACAACTTCGCCCAACTGGTGCGCTTTTTCAGCCTTTATTTTCATATTTACTAACTGTTCATCAGTAGATAGTAAATATATTTTGGCAGCTACGTACTTAAATATGTACATATATGTGTGTGCATGCAATGGTCTAGGCTGCACCTAATACCTACCTCTGAGCCGCCGCCGCCGCCTTTTCAGCAAAAGGCTGGTTGGTTGCCATTGCTTATTGCATTGTTTTTGCCACTACATCGTAAGGTGTTGTTATTGTTGTTGCATAGTTTGTTGGCATTTAGGCAAATAGTCGGGATGTTATGCAAGTAATATTTTTAATTAATGAACACTTTTGATTGTAAATTACTCCGGTGTCACAAGCAGATGGCATTGCCTCCATGGAAAAGTGGTATAATACGAAAATTTTAAATAAATCGGTAAGCCTTGGATTACAGTTCGCTACTATGTACGACCTTCAAATTTGGCTCACGCCCAATACTGATTGGAGCAGTCCGCATAGCATTTGATAAATATGTCTCTAGTTGTGTGAGATTTAGGAAAAGAATGTAGTTTAAGGTCACCTCATAGTTCTAAGTTAAAAATTTAACATTTGAACTCTTAGTCCAGTCGCTAGTACAGAGCGTACCCTAGAGGAAAGCTGGGCTGAATTTTGGAAAACGCGAAATCGCTGCCGATTGCACTCACTCATGCCACTATTTTCCAGGCATAGAGAGGCAAGCGTTCAGGGAACCCCAGAGTAGGACATTGATATTATTATAATACGGCAGGTGTGAGTCCTAAAGACCGTGCAGAGCTAGAGATGAGTACTGCCTCTTCTTAAAGATCATGTCCATTTCCTAGACTTGTTGAAAGCTTACGTTCGGTCACCCGCAAACTCTGGATACATTTTCAGCAATCACACGGGAACTGGTTATAGTAGTTCATTAAAATTCGGAAAATAAGCCTTATCCCGGCAATTTTTATTGATAGCTTTTACTAAGCCTCAGGTACGCCTCGCTTACCACTGTGACCCCTTCCAGGCTACCATAAAGGAAGTCGCCCTTTGGCCTACTTGTGCCTCAACATCTCTACAATTTTTTACCATTCAATCTGACAGCCAAGCTACGATTATATTCTTACAGAGTACGAACACCTCTTCTAAGGTGTTATTTGAAAGTAGAAGGATTCTATACGGATTAACCGCGAAAAACGGTGAAATACCCGGAAAAGAAACTGCAGGCNCAAATCGCTGCCGATTGCACTCACTGCATGCCACTATTTTCCAGGCATAGAGAGGCAAGCGTTTAGTGAACCTCAGAGTAGGACATTGATATTATTATAATACGGTAGGTGTGAGACCTAACGACCGTGCAGAGCTAGAGATGAGTACTGCCTCTTCTTAATGATCATGTCCATTTCCTAGACCTGTTGAAAGCTTAGGTTCGGTCACCCGCAAACTCTCGATACATATTCAGCAACCACACGGGAACTGGTTATAGTAGTTCATTAAAATTCGGAGAAGAAGCCTTATCCCAGCAATTTTTATTGATAGCTTTTACTAAGCCTCAAGTACGCCTCGCTTACCACTGTGACCCCTTCCAGGCTACCATAAAGGAAGTCGCCCTTTGGCCTACTTGTGCCCCAACATCTCCACAATCTTTTACCATTCAATCTGACAGCCAAGCTACGATTATATTCTTACAGAGTACGAACACCTCTTCTAAGGTGTTATTTGAAAGTAGAAGGATTCTATACGGATTAACCGCGAAAAACGGTGAAATACCCGGAAAAGAAACTGCAGGCGAGCTCCAAAGGATCTTGTCGTTAATTAAACCTGCACGAGCTGCAGCCTTCTTATCCTTATGAATACACCGATTGAGGTTAGCATTCCTTAAATGAGCTGACAACAGATGAGGATATTGGGAATCCACCTCTTGTGGTTCTAAGCAAAACTTTCCAAGTAACAACGAAAAAATATCTTCAAGTCCAATCTTAATTGATCGTCCAATTCTCAGTGAAGTAGGTGGTATACAAAAATACCGGGTACCGCAAACGAGATCTCTCCTATTTGCAGGAATGAAAAGAAGTGAAGGACGGAGAGCACTTAACGCCTTAATGCTACCAATAAATCAGGTGCTTAAGCTTTAATCTTAGTCACGATCGAATTTTGAATAACATAGTCGACCGCGAAAATAATTATACGGGTTTTTCTTCACCGTCAAATATTTTAACGCATCTTTCTTCGCCGCCAACTATGTTAAGAGTCTTTCTTCGCTGAAGTTCTTTTTTATGCGTCTTTAATGATTGCACCTTTGATTTCTGCTGGCCTTCTATATATGCATACATGACACGTTAAAAGGCTTAATAAATCGGGGAGGAAGCTCCCTTAAACAAAAGGGGTCTCTATGCCAATGGAATGCTTTTAGCCATGCTGAGCCTCTGGGTATGATCAGAAGCAGTACATTGAAATATTTGGAGATCTACGATTTAAAACTACAACTACAAATAATTTAATGTTTAATATTTAACAAAAATATACGCTTATCATTTTCAATTCTCATATGCATCTTTATTCACAAACTGACACTTCCTTGACCTCTCTTCCACAGGTCGAAACCAGTAATGAAATGTATCGCGCTGTCATTGAAGAGATCGCACGCTTCCTTGATCGCTATCAAACGCAAAAACAACTACAGCGCCAACTCCAACAGCAACAACAGATATCCCGTTCCAAGAGTCTCTACCAAGTTTATGATGGCAGCAGCAATTGCGAAGGTCATGAACAAAACACCAGCGGCAACAGCACTTTCAGTGGTAAATCAACAGCAACTTCGTCTTGCTTGCGCACGCGCAGCAGCAGCAATCTGATCGTGGACCTCAAGCAGTCAGCCATACAAAATGGCAATGTGAAATCAAACAGTGCCAACGGGGAACATAGTACACTGGCAACATCGGCAGCAGATAAGCGTAGTTGTGATGCCATCAACACGTCGGCCAACAATTCATACACTGCATTCAAGGACTTTACTTGGTATTTTATAAACAACTTGAATTTCTTACAGTTTAAATACATACTTTAACGCGTTTGTTTTTTACTTCGTCCCTAAAGGCGCCGCTCGCCCAAGAAGTATGCCGAATCGAAGGCCCAAGCCGCCGCCGACGATGTTGAGGAAAAGCTTAACCAGGAAGCTTTCCGGCTTTCGCGCACGATACACAATCTGCTAAACACATCCACACGTCAACCGGATTTAACGCAGCATCGTAGCTCTCTAACGACACATACCCATGGCGTGCACAGCAAAGTGTTGAAGACACCTGCACCGTCTCCAGCAGCCACAATCCCAACACTCGTTGCGTCGGCTGCTCAAGGCAACGCTACCAGCAAGAAACACAGCGCCGCTGACGCCACGAATAAATGCAATAGTCGCGTTCACCCCGCTGCTAACTCGCTTGCCAATGCCACTGCCGAAATGCTCTTCTTGCGCGCTAATAATATACGCGACTCACGCTTATCGCTGCGCAGCTCCACCGACAGCTCTGTACATTCTACCACCTCCAATTCGTCGGCAGTATCATCTTCCTCGTCGTCGGCGTCGTCGTCAGCGGCATCCACATCTTCCAGCAAGGTGGAGACAGACGAGGATGTTACGTTAAATCACCCATTTCATGCGATGGCATTGCCATTCAAGCAGCTCCAACATCCACTGGGCTCAGCCACAGAAGATGAGAGTGGCTTCAGTTCGATCAGCTCATTCCAGGATATAGGTGTGCCGTTATGCTCCACAATGATATCGAATGGCACTTCTACACCGAATCGTTTGTCATTAGCGAGCGTAAAATTTGATACCACCAGCTTGGGTAATGCTAATGGCGGCATTGCTGTTAGTGTAAGTGGCGACATGGAGGCCGGCGAATTCGCCGGTGATAGCCGCAATTCCACCCTTAAAGCCAACCATCCCAGCAATGTGCTCGGCGTGCCGTTGCAAGCCACACACGATATGCAACACCGCTGGGACACGACAACAACAACAACAACAAAAACAAGTTACCGCAGCGCCAATACGTACCAGCGTTTCTCCACGCTGTCCAATGAGGATGCGTCCGCTGTGCTTTGGGTATAGGTGAGCGCCAATCGGCACCCCAAATTGCCGCATCTCTACTTTGTGCATTTAACTTCTTAATTAAATGTTTCTTTTATTTAGTAAAGAAATCAAGCAAAAATCTTCGAATTTGATTTGGTTTGTCAAGTTTTAAGTTCAGTTTTAATTGAAAATTTTAGTGCGACCAACGCTTTGTATTAATTAGTAATATTAGAGGATGGTACACAGCAGTGCCTTTTAATATGTTATAAACGTATTTTAATATTAAATGTTAATTTTAGAAGCTACAAACATATGTATAAATTTTAAAATCATCAATCTGCAATTATTCCAGTTTTTGTCGCACAAATTCAGAAATGCATTTATTTTGATTACAATATGTATTTTTAAAAATATTTCACAGTTTGAAAACCCGTTAATCAACGCTAAGATAGATACTTGTCAAATGTAAGGCGAAATAAAATTCCACTTGCTCTTATTAGATTATGCAGAGAATAATGAGTTTGTTTAATTTATGGCTTCCTAATTAATGCTAGTGCGATTTGTCGGAGCTCAAAATAGCTCGCCTATTCACATTGTTGTTGCGGCTTACTTAGCTCTGTCTCGATCGGATTGGGTGCCACTCCGACAGGGTCGGAGCAGAGGGAGAGTGGTCTTAACTAAGTTGGGTTGTGTGGGAATGTAAAGAGATGCTTCGTGTCATGCGGAGACTCTCAGCATCTAGTCTGCTGCAGTGGCTAGACCGAAGTTGTGCTAGTGTTGTGCGGGTCTCCCGTGACATTTGAAGTTCTGTGTCATCACTAGAGCAGCAAAAAAATCGTCCGAGCCATACGTAAAGTACCTCGGCGCCCTGGTGGATCACCGCATTTGCTTTCGGAATCTTTTGGAATACGCCAACAAGAAAGCAGCGACGGCAACAGCAGCCCTGTCTAGACTAATGGCGAACATCGGAGGACCAAGACAGCAGTCTAGGCAAGTATTAGCAAGCGTAGTACGATCAATAGTCCTCTATGGATCGACAGTTTGGCTCGACGCTTTTAAACGGCCATCCTACTCCCGGGCCATTAATGCTACGTATCGCCTATGTGCTCTTAGAGTGTGTTCAGCCTTCAGAACCGTTTCCGAGGATGCAGCAACTTCTATCATCGCGGAATTACGTCCACTCGATCTCGTAGCTCAAGAATTGTATGAAACAAGAAAGGCGAACCGTGACCAACCACGCACAGTACACAGCGCAGTTAAAACCGCAGCAAAAGAACGCACTGAAGCACAGTGACAGATACTGTGGGACAGAATAACAAAGGACAGGTGGACTTACCGCCTCATAACAAAAATTGGCACTTAGCTCAGCAGGCATCACGGCACAGTCGACTACTATCTGACCCAAGTCATCAGTGGATGCGGATGCTTTAAAGCATACCTTTATCGCTTTGGACAGGCGCAAAGCGCTTATTGCGAGCAGTGTGGACCGACAGTCATTGAAGACGCCGAGCATGCATTTTTTAAATGCCCCCGCTTTAATTCCATGAAATCCGCACTTAATACTAAACGTGGCTTCTGTATAACACCAGAAAATATGGTACCGATAATGTTTACGAGCGAAGAAGCATGGAACGATGTCTGCCACTTCTCTGTCGAACTGATAAAAGTCCTTCTCCTGAATTTAGTCGGTTTGGTAATGAATCTCGCCTCTACGATAATTCTAAGACGTGCCGCATCGATCGTTCATTTTCCCATAGGAATAACACGTATGAAAATGTTTTCTTCTCTTTCGAGGTCAATATAATTTTCTAGGATCAATAAAAACGTCCGAAACTTCAAGAATACATTGATTATACTACATTTATGTGTTATACAGACTCACGATTCTTTAAATTCCTAAATTTGTTTTTTTTTTTTGTAATTACTAGATTTTAGCCAAGAAGAAACAAACAGGGCAAGCTAAATAAAACCGATTAAAAAAAAAAGTTGTTTTCCATTTATTCACTGAGGACTCCACCAACACCAATATTTTATATATATATCTGTTCTAAGGTAATAAAGATGATTAATTACGTTGCACAAATATAATCTTAGTTTTACCCATGCGCACTATCTACTCACCGTTACTTCTACAAATAGCATCCCAAAGACATCGGTTGTATCAAAAATTAAAAAATCTATGTATGTATCGATGTCCTCCCAAAACGGTATTCACAGGTCGTATGTTGGTGTAGGTTGAGACAGACTCCCTGTGAATTCCGTTTATAGCCTGTCTGCACAGAATGTTGCTGTACCTCGTCCTTCAGTTCGTAGAGATGCCATCCGAAGTGTATAGGTCGAGGCTCCGCTTCAAATAGGTGTAGGTTTGAGTGCTCAAGACTATAGAGCTCTACTAGGAACTACTTCCATAGCATAATGATTATGATGACTCAATTTCTGGTAGCACTTGGGCCTCGCTATGACGGAGATAGGTATGTAACTTCATCCACTACGTCCCGACGACCACACGTGCGCTGCATAGTTTAGAGCCGGTCGGTCAATTGAGCTTGTTTCCAACAGCGTTTCTTAGAATTTTCCATAGTCCACGCTTCAGCGCCGCCATATATTACGGCGAAGATGATGAGAGACTTAACGAATTTAATTTTCATTGGCCGAGAAAGGACTTTACAGCTCAACCACTTCGCGGTCCAAAGTCACCCTTATTGGCAGCATTCTTTGTTGGATTTCAAAGCAAGCGTGGCTATGGGTGTAAATGCGTGGTGCCAAGCAAACGATCTTCTCTAAAATACTGGGTGCTTAAGGTGCGTGGATGCGCTAAGTACTTAACTGAAGACAGGAGATACATACGTAATTTTATGCGCGTTCACTATCAGACCCACACCCTTTGATTCCCTAAATTCGAGAAAGCAGAACTAACACTCAGCAGTCCAGCAGTTCTTACAGTTCAACCTGGTATTAAAACGTTCTTGAACCGCCTGATGAAATTCACGTATTTCGGCCTCTTTTTTAGGAAAATGCCTCGCTTCCCTCTTCAGCTTCCTATATCACTCGCATATATGTAGATCCCGTCACGGAGCAACGTGGCTTAGTAGACATATTTTTCTCTGCAGCCGCATCGCATCTCTCCTCGTACCAATAACTCCTTGGTTTTTGCGGTGTATTCAAGCGTGCTTTCTGAGAGCAGGTGTGACGTTCCCACGACAGTCGAGTCTCTGTAACGGGAACGGCCAAGATCTTTGGGTAATGTGTATGCTGCTGCAACAGCAACAACAGAGCAGCTGCTGAATCGAGTAACGAAGTAGCTGACTGCATAGTGTAATGGCAACATTTCTACGTCGAACCTAGTCGCACATTTTTTGCTGCACAGAGGCCTTTGCGCATCTTGGCGGCAACAAGATGGTTATCTGACTCAATGCTTGGTTCTTGGATCGTACACGCGTCCAGAATATTGGAATCGTGTCTTCCGTCTGAACATGGTCGTTTCGATTTCCCGTTTTTCGTTCAGACGACTTCTATGAGCTTGATGAGCAAAATCTAGTCCATTGGGCCTTATGAATAAAAATAAAGCAATTGCTTGTTCTTTCAATTTCAAACCCTTTACTCGATTTATTCAAATGGATTTAAGTAAAAGGTCTGAAATTTAAAAAAAAAGCAATTGCTTAGTTTTTATTCATAAGGTCCATTTTCTACTGGGCCTGATCTACCGTACTTCTCTTCCAGAGAACATCAACCAATTGGACACCTTCCCACCTTGTGGTTTCGAACATACCCTCAAATCTTAAGTTATTTAAACGTTCGCCTAGTTCGCCATCACAAAATTTCTCGAGGCTATCTTGTACTTTTTCTAAAACTTTTTCCTATGTGGCCCCGCACAACCACAAACTGTGCTAAAACGCAAACTTCAGTAGACTCTGAAACCGAATACGTCAAAGTGGACTAAAGCACCCTCTCTTGCTGACGTGACCCAAAGCTCCACATGGCATCCCGCGGACACAAAATAGAAATTGAGTACATATATGTTTTCACGCGGGTCTAACTACATACCCAGCTCCCCTATTCACCATTTTACAACCGTCTGCCTTGTTTCTACTCATCACTTCCCGCCGATTTATAGAAAATAAATAAATAAATTTTTTACTTAACTACAATAGATAGTTATATTTTATTGTAAAATAAAGTATGCTTTAAGATTTAAGATATTATGTATTTGTAAATAATGTTAGCTTATACAAATAGTCTCACACTCGTTAAGCGAAACCATTCATTCATTCAAAAATACATATACAAGTATGTATTTACATATGTATCTAGTACATAGTCACTATAATTAAATATGTATAGTAATGGTTATGTTTATGCTTGTTTATTATATTTGTATGCATTTATAAACAAATTACTTGGCCAATTACATTATTTCTTCTCATTATCTTTTTTAAATTAAAAATTTTCTCATTAAAAATGCCGATCTACATACGAGAATGTAAGCAATGTTACAAAATAGATGTTACGATTTAAAAAAGTTCTCAATGTGTTTTGCACTACAGTATAATTCGTAATATAAATAATTTTATGTTATTATGTACGTTGGTAAAACAAGATGATGGAGGGGTTTCGCAATCTTAAAATTATAATCGAACACGATATTCGCTGACGTATATTTATATAGATAGACACATATTATATTTACAATGTCAAACACGAAAAACACATAAATATGCTTTCTAAAACTACAGACAATTCCATGTGGAAATTCTACACAAAAGAGGCGCGTCGCACAACACTAAACCCCATACAATTTAGGCATAAATATGTAGGTGTACGATCACACACAATAATATTGTACCAAAATGAGCATATTTTTCAGATAGATTTTTTGTTTCATAATAAACACATTCGAGAGGGCATGACAACAAGGCCCAGTAAACAAAACATCACATGGCATTCAATTAAAGTAACGCTTTAAATAAATTCTTACGCAGCTGTTGTTATAATTCTGATGACGCTTTTACGCAGCGAGTAGAGTCCCAAGAGCGAAATTGCAATTTATTCACAAAATACAAAAAAGCGTTGCGAGTGATGCAAATAACTGAGTGACCGTTCACCAGCATTTCGAACGCTGTTGCATTACAGACAAATTCGATAGATTAATTCACCGTTCAACAGCTGAAAATTCTTTAAATACGTCCAACAACACCCAGCGTTGAGGACTTATTTTTGCGCATCGGTTGTACAGAAAGTGGTGGCAGCAAAATCTCCGATTCGGCAGAAGGTGAACTGCTACGGTTACCCTCTTCATTAACCGCCTCCTATGAAAGAGAGAAGAGAAGTAGAGAAGTTGATATCGAAAGCTTAACGAAGCATGTCAAGCGGTTGAATACTTACGTGTATATTTGCACAGCTTGCCAAACGCATTTGCGCTAGTTGTGAGGCGGGCGTCAACGAGTTTGTACTGCCAAAAGGTGGTGTCATCATTGTGGAAACAGCTCGCTTCAATTTGGAGGGAGTCTTGTTGAATGAAAATGCGCGACCCACCTGAGCAAAGTAAATATTTTCTTCATTATAAGCAAAATAAGAAACAAAAGAAAGTCGCACATTAACCAAACTACATAAATATATGTACATATATGTACCTATACAAACAGATAAGATATTGAATTTCTACATATTTTAACCCTTAAAGAACCCTACTAATTATCTTACCATGAAATTAGAGCAGAATAACAATTTGACAAAAAGAATAAATTGTTAAGGCTTGAGCAACCTATTAAGATCGAAACGTAGATGTTTGATTGGGTGGTCGGGGTCACCCAAGGGATATTATACAGTTTGTCTTTTACGATACCAAGTGATCGATGAAACGCAGCGAGGTAATCACGAATTTACGGAGGCGCCTAACTTCAATTCCTGAAAGTACTTCAGGGTTGATTATCAAGTGCGAGCCAATCTTGGTCTGTCGAAAGCTGAACAGCTTAGTAGAAAGTGTCTAGGATATCCGTCATCATCCAGTTAATTGAGGCTGTAGGGGACAGATGTAATTTAGCTGCTCGCGATCCATTATGGTTCAAAAGACCCTTACAATTGCGCATAGATTAGTTTTCACCTAGCGTTCGCCGAGCTGGCATGATGAACAATTGTCCAAGATTGAACGAGAAGACAGGTTGATTGACCTTAATTTCTTAGGTAAAACACGAGAGCTCTTTCGCGCCTTCGCGATAAATGCTACCCCTCCAAGTTATGAGGATATCCCCACTCCTCACGCAATTTGGGTATTTTGAAGTCCACACCACGACCACCCTATGCAGTCGAGTCCGTCTGGACTCGGGGTTTGAGTGAAGTTGTCGCCCCCGTGTCTTGCCTCGCCGGAGGCTTCTCCTGGAGATGGAATATGTTTCCTGGAACGACTATCAATTGGCCTAAGGCAGCGTAGCTCTGCCCGGGGGCCTGTCGTAGACTAGTAGAGGCGGTAATGATAACATTTATTTATTTACTTAGATATCGCGTGCAAAACTTCTAGCTCGATAAATGCTTGTTTCGATAGTATCTCCTATTATCAATTCTCTTTTTTTCATTTTAAATAATAAATAGTAACGGTAGCACATTTGAACTAGCGTATAATAATATGTACTCAGATTGGAGAATAGAACCAAATTTGCTATTTGACTACAGAAGACGCATCTCCTACTTACCTTCTGACGCGTACGCGCCGCCAACTTGAACGCCTTCGACAATGTGCTCAAATTCACATCACTGATATCAACTTCCAACTCCTGTGAGGTGCGACTCAGTAATGCGCTCACCGTGTCCGTCCGACAGGCATTCTCAGCCATTTGTTTGCACAAGACCTTTAAGTATACCACCTTATCGATTTCTTCATCAGCTAAGGTGAAAGAATGCAGCTTCTCCTTATCCTGCCGACAAAGCAAGGCAAACGCACGCGGACTATCGGTGATGTCAATGACAAAACGTATCGCGTTCAACGATATTAATTTCACATGCTTGTGTGACTTGGTGGTGCTCGGCGATTTAGCTGTGTTGAAGGCACGCGAACGCTTTTTACACACCTCAATTGTGTCTGAGAATAAGTACAACATCAGCGAGTCGCCACGCCCACTTAGACTGTCGGACAATTCAGTTACTTCGCACTTGGAAATAAAACTGCGGTTCGAGGACACTAAATGCGGCTGGTGAAGGTTGGAGGCAAAAAGGTACAGGAAATCAATAAAGCATTGCATCAATTAGGTAAAAGTACGCCAATAACACTTACCGGACATCCTTCAATGTCATTGAAGATATCAAATATTGCCATGCGCGATTCCGTCTTCCGCTTGTCCTCGTTAATGTGCATCATAACTTCCTTGATGGCCTTCAATGCTTGCTCCAACTTGGCATAGTCTGGATTATTTTTATTTGTGTGCTTTAAAATGTCTGTAATTGTATTGCGAAATGATAATTTAAAAATTTTTCGGTTCAGGCATCTTAGAATTCGAGCTTTTACTCACCGTTCAACAACAAACTAATGCTTGGCAATCGTTGCACAGGACGTATCATTAGATCCTGCAGGCTTTGTCGCCCACACTCAGGCTTCGTTTGATTGATTTTTAAAAATGCATGGAAGCGTGGATTTTGACTATCACATTGTTGCAGCGTTTCTTTCATCTGCTCGAAGAAATTCACGTAGGGCGGATATGCCTTAGTTAGCTCATCGCGATGTTGCAGTATGATTTCGCCGATCAAGCAATCCTCTGACCATTTACTCTGTATCGCACGCAGACTTTCCAACATGCTCTGATGCACTTCGTGTATGGGAAGAAAATTATTGAAAATCGATTTGATTTCCGATTTATTGAGTAGCTCGTCGCTGGTCTCGGCAATTTCCTCGAGCGGATTCTTGAAGAGCTGTATGTATGTAAGGGGTTTTAAAATACATAAAAGAATGAAATTTCATAAAACAAACAAATAATTGAGGCGGCGGTATTGAAACTTATTTCGATTCATTTATTCTTCGTTCCATATGCGAAAATCTGTTATATCTACATATATATTCTAAGTTCAATCTCAATTTTCCTAATCTTAATCTTCTTCACACTCAACATTATAATATAATAGGAAGACAGATGCACTTCCCTAGCATTTTTTAATCATGTAGTATTTCTAATTTACTACCGCCACTAATGAAGATTCATATTAAAAATGTATCGGTGTTTTTTGGTTGAACCGATTGGGTACAAGTACCTGTTTAACAATCGAGCTACGCACCTTTACAATTGTGTCTAATATGCCCACATAGTTGGACTCGGTGCTGAAAAAGTCCATAAAATGATTGAAACGCATCGACTTCTTCGCCGGTGTGGTCTCCGTAACCGTAGGTGTTTCAATACGCACTTCGTTATGCAATTTCCCAGCCTCCAACTTATCCGGACTGGTAGTACAGTCAAAGAAACTACCCGAAACGGACAATAAACCGGCGTCCGAAACAGACGAACGTCGTTTACCCGAGCCCATTGGTGTCCCTTCAAATTGTATGCGCTGCGAGAAACGTTTCCGTTTGCGCTTGTTAAAGCTGATGGGCAGTGAATCACGGCGATCCGTATTAGGCGTGTTCGCAATACTGTCCAAATACTAGAAGGGAAGAAGGGAATAATTTTTCGAGGTAATGGAATACGCTAAAAAAGTGTATGTATTTACATCGCCAAATAGGTAATCCATCTCGTCCGCGTAGCCATTCTGTATGGTGTACCAGAACCAATCGGACTTGAGGATGTGCGTGCGGTGATTCTTCGGATCTGGCTTGGTTTGAGTGGTGTGCTCATCGACAACCTGAATTATAAATTAAAAATATTGTTCTACATACATACATACATACATATGTACATACTACATAATAAAAACTATGTAAGCCTGATGATGACTGCTCGCTCGCGCACAACAACTAATTGCAGTAGTCTGCTTTATTTGTAAGCAGGAATAATTGATTTGCGTGAAACAGTCATTTGTCAGGCACGGAAAATTTTCCAATTTACTAAGTGTTGAAATAACAAAGATGCTCGCATGCTTTTGCCTTAAAACAAATACGAAATTTTAACTGAAATTATTAACATTTACAGGGTAATCGAAAATGATGCTGCATTTCGTTCCATTTGTTTTATAGAAATCTTTATAATAAAATATTTCAAATCACCCTGTTCGCTTGATTGAAAAAATAAATCGGCTGGATTGACATGGACTGCAAAAATGCAAACCGAAATTTTCCAGCGTTCTACTGGCTTCGAAAATTCAAAACAATTCGCACAATAGCAAATCCAGCAATTAATTAGACATTTATGATGTGCAAGTGAGACATGTAAATATGTATGTATGTACATATAATGCTATGAGTGAATGCTTTTAACGGTATGATGATTTAGAATGAATGTACGCAGCTACTGAGTTAATAAAAATAGAAAAGGCTTATTAAATATTTGCCAGCACAATAAATTATTTTCGAAACGCTTAGAAGGGTTGGTGGCAGAGTGCAGCGATGTCAGCCAGTATTCAGAAACAAATTACAGTAAATCAAATAGAATATCATTGAGACAAGCTGTCCTTAGATTCGTTAAGTGAAACAAGGCAAAAGCAGTACGTTTAGAACAAAAATTTGGAAACATACAACACAAATTTCAGACGAAAAAAAAAGATGAGCATGGTGAGATAATAAAGTGCATTAAATTTTATAGAAATTGTGCTTCACTAAGAGTTTTAAACAAAAGAGGAGCAAATATGATTTGCATAGCATTTTTAACATTTTTCACTAAATTTAAAATTATTTAGAAAAATTTTTAAATAAATTAGCTGGAGAGTCTAGAATAGGGTTAGCAGATTTTTCTGTTGTGAAAATAATTTATTGTGCTGCCTCCTTAACCATAGCAAACATTTAGTAAAAAAAACCCCAAAACCACTTAAAAATAATTATAAGTTACAAACAAATTTTAACAACATTTAACACACTTATACAACAAACAATAGCCGAGACGTAAAAGTTAACGGAAAACTAGTCGAAAACAACAATATATATATATCGTCGTACCGAAAATGTTAAAAATGCGATGCAAATTACAAAACTGCATTGCAATGCTTTTAAATCGTTTTATCTGTGCAAACAATTTCCGGCGATTTCGAAAAAAATATGAATATTTTTACTATTTTATCTATATTTTTACTACCGAATTCTTCAGTCTTTCACTTTACTTTTGTGTTGTACTAAGTTTCCATTTCTTGTTCGTTTGCAAATGAGAATAGGCAAAAAAAAAAAGTTTAAGTAATGCAATGAATTGCGTTAAATACCATTGACGAGCATCCACCAGCATTTTTTAGCAAATTCTCACGCTGCTGAGGGAGCGCAGTACGCTGGTTTTGGACGGCCTGACAGTGAGCATGAACTTGAAATGGACTTTCCTGATGTATTATCTCTGAGTTAATCGGCTGATTTGAACTACGAATGGGAGATGAACGAAGCGCGGGCACAGGAAAGGGTGTAGGAGTTGTGGGAATGTAAGTTGCAGGAATAGAAACAGCTGCAGCAGAATTGATCTCAGCACACTGCTTAGGCGACGCAGTTGACTGCGGCGATGGCGATGGTGCAGATAGCACAATTTTCGTAAGCGATTTGGGAGTGCCAATTGCCCTTGCTGCGGCGCTTAAAAACTTAGTTGGCGCTTTGGGCGTTTTGAAACCACTACTCGGCAATTCTCGTTCACATTTTTCGTCCTTTTCTGGCGTAGTCGTAGGCTGTAGCGTATTCACGTTGTATTTGTCTTTCTTACTACTACTACGCGTTATGCGGTCGCGAAGGCTGCGAAATTTCTCCTTCACCGGTTTGCAAATCGACTCATTGAATGTAGTTTCCATTGACGCAATCGAACAGAATGAATCATCCACATTGCAGCCGCCCTCTTCACCATTTGGTGCAGAATCGAGTGCCACTGAGCTGCGTCGTGGCCGCATCATTTTCGATATAGGTGTGCGTACCGCTACAAAGCTCATGGATCTACGTATTGAACGTGTAATGGATCCGGCGCGTATGAGCTTTGGCTTCTTCGTGCTATTCGGCAAGGCGAAAGACTCCACCGACATCAGTGAAATACTATCGAAGCTCTCGCGTTTACGTTTCAGCTCGTTAAGGTCACCGAAGTCTTCCTCATCGGCGAGCACAACGTCTGTGTCGGTCTCCATCGGAAGTGGTTCATTTTCAGGCGATGAGTTGGTAGTGATCACCAACTTTGGAATTTTTATGCTTGACGATGATCTTGCTTGGGACGCTTCCGCCTCCTGTCTAACACTTAATATTGGTGATATGTTATTTGGATTATGAAATGCATTGTCCGCTTCTTTCGTAAGAATGGCGCCATCGGTGGTGTTTTTACTACTATGCTCGCCAGCGTCAGCGTCAGTGTTGGCCACTTTTATGGGTGTGCTGGCATTTTCATCGATTGGATTGGGTGGTAAGGGTTTTGATTCTTCCACTTTGGCCTTGCTCGAATTAGAATTTATGTCATATTGTGGCGATTTTGATTCCTGCAGTGGCAAATTTGGCTGTTTTAGTGGAGTGTTGGCACTCAGTTGCCGGGCTGGGGGAGCGTAATCGTCCGGATCGTCTATGTCGACACCCTCAGGTAGTGGGGAGCCACATTGCAGTTCCTTATTGCGATCATAGTCCACCACCAAGCGCTCATCAAAATAATCGCCATCATCATCTGCATCTACATTTTCATCATCTTTAACAAACTCATTCTTGTTCGAAGTCAAATGCGGACTTTCAACATCCATTTGACATTCATCAGCCTCAGGGAAAGTCTCTGTTTCAGTCTCATTTGGTTTAGCAGTCTTTTCTTCAATCTTTTCGATAATTTCGTTTTGTGGCATCTCAGCAACAGCTGCGGTTGCTTCAACATTAACGCCCTTAAGTTCTTGTGAGCCACTTGTGGCGCAAGCGGGAGCAGGTCTAGGATTTGTTGGGTCAGGATTAGGGTGAAGGTTAGTTATAGGCTGGGGCTTAGGTGAATTGCAAGTGTTAGTGATGGCTTCGAGAAAATAACCACCGGTATTAGGCATGACCTGCAAATTTGTAAATTCATAAATATTCGTAGAAAATTTCCAGCAGCATGCTTATTATGAAAATTCTAAATATTTCAATCCTTTTTCTTGTGTTACTGTATGCGAAAACCAACATTGAATATTAATTAGTTTTTTTTTTGTTTTGAGCTAATATTTTTTTTTTTGGTAAATACCGCCACTCAACAATGATGTTTGCGATATTACGGTGTATGCCACTTAATTTTTTTTTTTTTTNACTGTATGCGAAAACCAACATTGAATATTAATTAATTTTTTTTTTTTGTTTTGAGCTAGTATTTTTTTTTTGTGGTAAATTCCGCCACTCAACAATGATGTTTGCGATATTACGGTGTATGCCACTTAATTTTATTTTTTTTTGTGACAACTACATAAATTACTACAAATGATTGTTTTCGACTTCAGCGGCACAAAATACGCTACAAATTGTTTTTCCAGCTTCGTATTATTTTATCTCAATTGCTTAAAATACTATATGTATAGTGCAAATCAATTAGTCACCAACTATTTAGTACCAGCGCACACAAACATACACATTCGAGAATACAATAACAACAACATGCAAACCAAACAATTCAAAGCAATAAACAATAAACAATAAATATCTAAGGCTTGTTTATGCAAACAATTTATGTATTTGAATGTGGATGAACTCACGACATGCGAGCACTCGGGATCGTCCAACTCTGCCGGCACGCCCCCATTGCTGATCAAAACATCCACCATGTGTTGATGCTCGTCCGCGGGAAAGCCGAAGAAACAAATCTTCTGACCTTCAAATGCTTTCAGTTTATGCTCGCGGGAAAAATCGTCGGTCGTTGCACGAAACTGCAGCTCGTCGCGCCGCTCCCATGCGGCATAAACCCAGGCCGGCCGCACCACGGTCAAACGAAAAGTTTTTGCGTATCTAAAAAATCACACAAAACAAAACAAAAATAAAATGGAATTAAAAGCCATTGCAACAGAACATTGAACACAATTTAAAACGATAAATAATAAAACTAGGAGCCATTAGAGGCGGGCAGCTGCCAAGTTGTGGCAACTTACTGATACTTATCACCGCCACTGTGACTGCAAATTAGATGTGTGATCTTGGAATTCATGTCTTTGCGTATGCATCCGCCCATCGAATGTATCAGATTGACGAGACGAGTCTGTAGCATAGAAGATAAAGAAAGTAAAACTTATTTGTAGAATCTTTCGCAGAATCGTTTCGTTGAATGAAACTTTACACTTACCAGCTCATCCTTCTTGCGGATGCCCGTAAAACACGTCACCACGCCGCGCATTGAATAATTGTAAATGGGTCGCGCGTTGCGTATAAGTCCATCCTTTGATTCGGCTGCATGCTTCAAGGCAGGTGGGCCCAAGATGCTGCAGAAGAAGAGAAATCACAACAAAGTACCGCAAATTATTTTATTGAGAAACAAGAAGAGTGGTGGAGAGTTAAGTGTGGTAGGTAGCTCCATTCATGCAATTCTATGTGGATGCATATAAAGCAGAAATGCTTGCATATTTCCCCGAATTTCGACACACGCATTGCGTCTACATATCACTATCAACAGTTCATGGC